TGTCATATTTTAATTCTCTACAGCTTCTCTTTGAACTTACAAAGATCGGTTGAAATTCTATTACATAATCGACCCCTAAACCTGTTCAGGCAATAGTCTTTCTGATAAGAATGACAGAAAAAGAATTGAGGCCTTTGAGCTGTGGTGTTGGAAAAGAGCACTGAAAATCTCATGGATGGTCAAGAAACAAGCAGATACGTCTTGGAGAAGGTGCAGCTGGATTCTCTGGAGGCAAGAATGATGAGACTTCACCTTACATATTTGGGCATGTTGCTAGGAGGTGCTATTCTTTGAAGAAGAAAATGAGATGTACTTGGCTTAATGGCACCTAACTACAATAACAAGAAGCTTGTTCTGACTTGTTAACTTTTTAACTTTTTTATCTCTTTCCACAAATATAGTCCATTTGATTTTTGTATATTTCATCAGAAAAGGTCCATAAGTGTAATCACCAGTTACATTTGGATTTTCAAAAACTAGGTGTTTACGATGAATAAAATATTGTACAAAATTGTATCATACAATTTCTTGCTTCCTTTCTCTCACCAAATCCCTATTTTCCAATTACCTATCTTTTTCTTTGTTTCCAAACTTTGAATTCCAGTCAGTCATTATTGTTAAAGCTTCTTGATTGCGTAGAATACCAAAAAGAAACTTAAAAAAAAAACCCGAACATGAAACTTATGCTTTGTTGATTATGTAAAGGCATTCAACCATGTGGATCATAATACATTACAGATAACATTGAGAAGAATGGGAATTCCAGAACACTTAATTGTGCTCACACAAGACTTGTACATAACCATGAAGCAGTTTGAACAGAACAGGGCGATACTACATGGTTTAAAATCAGGAAAGGTCTGTGTCGAAGTTGTCATCTTTCCCCTTACCTAGTATCTGTGCAATAGACTAGTTGGAGAAGCTGTACTCTATGAAGAATATGGCTTCAGGCTTGGAGGAAGAAGACTCATCAACAGCCTAACTTTATGAAGATGATACAGTATTAGTTGTCGAAAATGGAAAAAACTTGGAAGTATTTAATGACGAAGATCAAATACTGCAGCTTTCAGTATGGATAGCACCTCAACATAAAGAAAACAAAACACTTCACATCTAGATCAATAGACAAAATCATTACAAATGAGAAAAAGATTGAAGTTGTCAGGAATTTAATTTTATGTCACTCCACAATTAACACTCGTGGGAACAGCCATCAAGATATCCAGAGATGTGTTGCATTGGGGAAGTGTGCTCCCAAGGATCTCTTGAAAGTGCTGAACAATAGGGATAACAGTTTAAAGATGAAAATGAAGCAGTGCATGTTATTTTCACTCAATGTGTATCTGACAGTTGGGCAATGAACAAAAATTATCAAAGAAGAAGAGAGGCCTTTAACTTGTTGTTGGCGAAGAGCATTAAATATCTCATGGTCTGGCAAAAGAAAAATCTGTGATGAAGGAAGTATAACCAGGGAACGCCTTAGAAGCAAGGATGGTGAAACTTTGACTCACGTGCTTTGGGCTTGTTGTGAGCAAGTGCCATCCTTGGAAAAAGACATGCTGGCAAAATTAGAGGGTCAATGAAAGAGAGGTAGACATTAAATGAGATGGATTGACAAGGTGACTTCAGCAGAGCAACTTGAGCATGTCAGAGCTTGGTGCCATGAGGATGGCTCCTTTGGTTTTGATGGTATATAGGGTCACTGTTAACTGGAGTTGACTTGGTGATTCCTAAAAGCAGCGTGTGGAATACCAGGTTTGATTTCCAGCTGATGTACCTCATGTAGCTGCCATTCATTCATTAGTAGGACTTTTCTCTTGCTATGTTGCAGAACATGTTACTGCTGAACTTCTAGATTAAGATAAACTAGGTAGAAAAGCCCAGCAGTCTACTACAGTCAGCCAGTGAAAAGCTATTGGAGTATAATAATCTGGTCCAGTTATGTGTGAGGTTGTGACAAGTTAAGGCTAGACTAGGTGGCAGCTAACATTAAATTTAATGATATGATTAAAGGTTTACTTAAAGGAACCTTGAGATCACCCTTTTGGGGGCATCCGGGACGAGTAGCATAATGTAGTCTTTTACAAAGACAATACATTTTATTTTGATGAGTATCAAATGGGATTTTAAAAGCTTTCTGGAAGCCATTGAAGATGCAATTATTTGTCTCTGCCTGGCCAGAACATAGAAGTGAGAAGAAAACCAAGAATGCAGAGAGAAAATTAGTCTAAAGGTTCACATGAACCTCAGATTTTATAGGTTAGAAAACTAGATGGTGCTCAGGTGTTACCACAGACCTAAAGATATCATAGTAGAAGATTCTGGATAGAGTGTGTGAAAATGTGGAGCAAAACTCAAATCATACAAAAATACTAGGCTTACCGATCAGATAGAGAATGATGCAGCCTCCAAGGCTATCACTTAGTCACCTGTCGAACCTAGAACAAAATCCACTCCTTGGGCCCATCTTTTGCCAACCTTTAAGATGATCAGGGATTTCTGGCCTTTCCTGGTAACATGCTTAAAGTATGTTAGGTGGAATTTCACCATCCTTGATTGGTGAGTTAGAACCACTGAATTGGGTTAGCACTTACTAAATAACTAATAGGGTTAGTTTCTGCTTAACCCACTATGTCGCTTGGCCTTTCAGGTTTTTGAGCACCTTGAATTTTTAGCTCGTGGCTCTTCTCCTGGAGATATTGAAGCACAGCCTGACCCATCATTCTGTATATATTGAGTGCTGTTATAGGCATCTTAGAATATTCCCAAACTGAGAAAAAGGTCTAGTTTGAGATGAGAATAAAAAAAAAATAGTAATATTAAAAATGGGAGGGTTGGTAATGACAAGCACACTATGAATGGCATATTATGTTTGTTGTTAGGTACCATTAAGTCAGAATTGACTCGTAGCTTATCCTCCAGCATGTTTTTGGAACAGTAAATCACACCACAGGAGACTGCCCATCTTTTCCCTGTAGAGCAGCTAGCCGATTCAAACAGAAGTACAACTCCTTATCACTTCCTGTCCTAAACCACTCAATTTAAATATGAGATAATTAAAAATCTGAAAAATAAACTTTGCACCCAGATTCTTGTCATTGGAATAACTCGAACTGTTCTTGTTAGGCTTTCAAGTTGAATACAACTCATAGCAACACTGTGAACACAGATATGAACCCTTTCTTATCCCCTTCATCATATTTGCCTCCAAGGAGCATTCTGGCTGCAATTTCTCAAAGACTTACCTGTTTGTTCTTTTGGCAGTCCTTGAGATACTCAGTACTCTCCAGCATCATAGCTCAAAGGTATCAATTATTCTTCTGCCATCTTTATTCACTACCCAGCTCTTAGATGCATAACAAATGACTGAAAAGACCATGCCTTGCATCAGATGCACCCTAGTTCTCAAACTAGCATCACTGCTCCTCAATAATTTGGAGAGGTTCCTGACTGCAGACTTTTCCCTGTGCAGTATGTCTCCTGTTCTCCTAATTGCTGATACCATGTCTATTAGTCTACATCAGTGCTTTGAGTTTGGAAACAGCAGTCTTTCCCATGCTTAGAGATGCAGCCCCGGTTATTGTCAATTGTAGCCATAATCAACCTAATAATGTCAGATATGGTTCTATGGGCTTTGCACACATTAATTGGTTTAGTCATGCTATTGCTGTGAGGTACCATCAAGTGGAGTACTATTCATAGCAACTCTATGAACAGCAGATGTTAACCCTGCTTATCCTGTGCCATCTTCATCATTTCTGACACACTTGAGCCCGCCACTGTAGTCACAGTGTCAATCCATCTGGTAGAGGGTCTTCCTCTTTTCTCTGACCCTCCACCTTTTCAAGAATGATGACCCTTTCCAAGGAATAGACTCTTCTAGCAACATGCCTAGAGTACATGAGATGAAGCTTTGTCATCTTTGCCTCTGGCTGTACTTTCTATATGACATATCTATTTGATTTCTCAATAGTCCAAAGGATATTAAGTGCTCTTCTCCAAGACCACAGTTCAAAGGCATCAGTTCTTCTGCCATCCTTATTCAATTTTCAGCTCTCAGATCAGTAAGTGATTTAAAAGACCATGGCCTTAAAAAAATTTTTTTAAAAAGACCATGGCCTGAATTACGTGAACCTTAGTCCTCAAACTAACATCCTTGCACCTCAGTAATTTTGAGAGGTTCCTGACAGCAATCTTTCCCAATGCAATATGTCCCCTAATATCCTGGCTACTGGTATCAAGTTTGTTGATGATCCAAGTAAGATTAAGTCGTTGACAATAGTATTTTCTTTATCTACCATCATGTTATGTCAATTACTTGCTATGCATCAGAGAGCTGGACAATGACTAAGGATGACAGAAGAAGAAATGATGCCTTTGAGTTGTGGTGATGGAGAAGAGTCTTGAACATACCATGGACCTCCAAGAAAATGAATAGGTCTGTCTTGGGGAGGGTGAAACCAAGTTTCTCCATAAAGGCTAAAATTTGGAAGCTCTGTCTCAACAGACTTTGGACACATGGGTAGGAGGGACTAGTCCTTTCAGAACGACATCATACTTGGCAGGGTGGAGGGACAGTGCGAGAGGAAGACCCCCGAATGAGATGTATTGACACAGTAACTGGGGCAGTGGGGGTAGGTGTGTCAGGGTCAGTGAATCTGGCTCAGGACAGGGCAGGCTTCAGAGCTGTTGTACAGAGGATCACTATGAGTCACAGGAGATTGGGCAGCACATAACATCAGCAGCCACCATGATGCTACCTGTAAGTCCAGTGGTGAGAATTTTTGTTTTCTTAATGTTGAGATATCAGTTATTTGGGTTAAATTTCACACATATTTTGGAAGACTTAACTCAGTCCATCACAGTGATAAAGATACCCAATTTTATTTTCCCCCATTCACGCTGTTAGTATAAGTACGCCAAAATGTCGCAATGAGATGCTCTTATAATGCTCTTATTTGACTGTGCCTCTCACTGAGGGTACTGTTTTTCCCTTCCAGTTTTACGGGAGCCCTATACAGTCCGTGTGGAGGACCAGAAAACCATGAGAGGCAATGTTGCAGTCTTCAAGTGCATTATCCCCTCCTCGGTGGAGGCGTATATCACTGTTGTCTCATGGGAGAAAGACACTGTTTCACTTGTCTCAGGTAAGCTGTGCATCCCTGCATTTCCAGAATGCACTGCGCTCAACTTTTACATGTGTCTTTTAGGTTTCATGTATGTACTAGTCAGAATTATGAATTGGTGTATTTAAAAATGATGCTTTTTAATAAATAATAGATGCTTTACGTTGGTATATAATAGTTTGATTGATATATTCTGGTGTGTTAATTTGTTGAAAACTGATTACTTGCCCTGCTGTCAGTTATATTGCTTTTATGAGAAAAGAGTGGCTTAATTTCTCCTTATAATAATAAAGAGGTGGCAATTTTATGTCATTACTAACTTCAGTGATAACCTTATAACCGACATTGTGAAACTAAAATCTGGAAAATAGAAGCCCCCTGATTTCATGCTCTTTGCTCTTTTTAATGCCTAAAATTTATATTTTATGAATCATAATCCTTAAAGATTCCATGAAGAATATATAGTCAGCACTGAATATTTATTTGTACATAAATATTTCCTTGTCTTATTTTTGGTATCTAGAAACTGCACAATGGAAATTTAGCCTCTAGGAAACTGAGCGTCTTCATTTCTAATGACATTTAAGTTGAGTTGTTTTCTTGCTCTGTGCTATTTATGTGGAAAGGCCAAAGAAAGCACAATGCTCAATTTTCCCATTTTGCACATCATTGGATAATGGCTGTTGGCATCTCTAAAAATGTGTTGGCTGCTTTTGAGAAAAGAGTTGTGATATGCACCGCATATGGGCTAATGTGGAATACAAGTGGTTGAATTTCTTTACTGGTCTTTAATCTGTATATGTGTACACATATAGGCAAGCACATTTTCCCCCCAAGCACAGTTAATTTTTTAATATCACCAAAAATGTATCCATTTATATAAGTAACAATTCTAAGCCTCGCAATAACACATAATTTTTAAAAAAATTATCAGTTGGTTATACAGTATAGATTACTATACAGTAAAACCCAGAAACCCTTAAAAATATTCAAATAAAAGTAAAATATTTTACCTTTAAAGATTATATAATATAAGGTGTGATGGAAAGTGGAACTTCTTAAATTTATTAATATATGATTAATTAAAAACTGTTCACACTTCACTAAGTAGTAACTTCCTTGCTGTTATGCTGATTAATCATAATTTGTTAAGTTGTGGAATTCTAGAATACCAAGTGGAAGAAATGAATTATGATTGAAATTATCAGAATGGAGACTCCTTTATGTATCTGTACATCCTAATTTTCATTGTTCGATGATTTTCATCTAATTTGGAGGCAATTTTTGTTTTCTTGGTGACAGCTAGAGGAATTTGATGACAAGAGGCAAAGTGGGCAGATCTCTCCTTCATTGCCAACTATCTATAAGGACCAAATCCAGTTCTTATATAAATGCAGCTTCCCACTTCTTCATCCTTATCCCCACCTGTCCAAGCAACATACTGTCTCCAACTCTAGTCACCTGGAAATGAGTCAGAGCTCATCTCCTTTCAGATAGCTAGATAGGCAGGCACGAGCCTTCTGGCCCTCCCTGTTCTTGAGGATTCATTAATTCACTAGAATGATGAGAGAATTTTGGAGAGTGCACTGTGCTTGTGGTTATTGAATATTACCATTTAAATGGATACAAATTAAGAGACATACAGACTTAGGTTTGGGAGAATTTTCAGTGGGAGACTTCCCTGTCCCAAAGAGGGACATGCCACCTTCACCTGTCATAGTCACCGACCAGAAGACTCATCTTAGCTTCAGGCTTGAGAGTTCTTGCTGACCTCAGCGTGTGGCCATGATAGAATACATCCTACCTCCTGAGCCTGTTTCAGCAGTATCCTGTTGTTAGTCTCAGATGTTGGTACCGCTAGAAAGAACCAAGAACAAAGGACAGCTTGCTGTCTGCGACAGATTCCACAGGCTTTCCACCATTCTGAAACATTACTTTCTGACTATGGGACTTCAGGGTCTGCCTTGGCAGGGAAAGAGAGCATGGAAGAATTACAAACTGGCTCTTAATGTTTTCACTTGGAAGCTATCAGTGTCACTTCTATTCCTCTTTCATTGGATAAGACATGTCATGTAGCTCGGTCTAACTTTAGTGGGGAATTGTGTGTAGAAAGAGAGGTGAACTAGAAATCTTGACGGAAAGCATAAATATTGACTGCCAAAATGATGTGTAAATATAAATAAATGTATACATACAAATAACATATATTGTATTAAACACCATGCACACCATATCCATACATAAGTCTATAGCATATACTACATATATTACAAAACCAAAAACCAGTGTCTCTTAAGTTGTTACTAACTAAAGGTTAGTACTCTCTATTGAGTATCTGAAGCTGCAAACCCTTCTGGGAGGAGAATGCCTCATCTTTCCCCCCACAGGATGACTAGGGTCCAGTCAACCTTTTTGTTAGCAGCCCATCAAGTAATTGACTGCACCGCCAAGGCAACCTGATGTGTACTACTACACATATGTGAATATATATTATAGTCAGCTAGTCTGTGGAGAGGAAGCCCTCGTGGCCTAGTGGTAGGAAGCTGTGCTGCAATTCTAAAGGCTAGAGGTTTGAGTCCACCAACTGCTTCTCTGGAGAAGGGTGGGCAGTCTCCTCTCATGTGGTTTACTGCCTCTGACAACCTGCTGGAAGGTCAGTTTGGGGTCAGTTCCCACTCAGTAACACGTAGCAACAATAGCAGTCTGTGGACAATGACTCAAATTATACCAAAGGCTGTGTTTCTCAGGTTGTTCCAATCTAACTGTGGCTCTGTGGCAGAAATATAGAAAGTCTCTTTCTATGGGATTTATCTTTTCTGACAATATGCTACAAGATCAGCTGTAAGTTGATTCTGATTTGACAGCAATGCATTTTAGGTTTTTTGTTATAATAGGAACTATGGTGATGGTATGAGTTATATGTGGGTCTGTAAACTGAAAAGTCAGCTTTTTCAACTCTCCAGCTTCTCTATTGGAGAAAGATGGGCATTCTCCTCCCATTAAGATTTGTAGCCTTAGAAATCCAATGGAGGACTTTTTAAATTAAGAATTTTTAAAATTGGTTTGCATACAATATTAATTTACATTGTGTTTCATTCATGTACTTTGTGTTTCATACAATCATTCATATACATTATATTTTGTATATTCAATTACTATTGATCATTGCCCATTAATACCCCATCTTTTCAAGTCCTCATTGAGTCTTTTCCTATTTCTTTATTCCCTATCCAATCCACCCCCTAAAATCTGCTATCTTAGTAATCACCACCCTTCCCCTTTTCCCGGCCCCATCTCTTTATTCCTTTCTCCTTCTGGTCATTTATACACATCTTACAAGTTATTCTATTTTTACAATAAAGGTATTATGCAGTATTTGTCCTTATCCACTACTTGGAATATACCCTGAGAAAATGAAAACTGAGGCACAAACGGAGATTTCTATGCCACTGTTCATAGTAGCATTATTCACCATAGCAAGAACATGAAAACAGCCCAAATGTCCAACCAAAATTGAATGGATTGAGAAATTATGGTACATTCACATGATGGAATACTATACAGCACACAGGAGCAATGATTCTGTAAATTATTACCTAACTTGAGAGAGACGGGAGAGCATTATGCTGAGTGATCTAACTCAGTCCCACAAGGACAAACTTTGTATAAAACCACTGTTGTAGAATGAGTATAGGGATACGGGGGGGTGTGGGGGAGGGGTATAGAAGCAGAGGGATGAGGATGTGCCAGGGGTTGGGGATTAATCATGGAGTTGTACAATTTGATGGGTTGGGGTGAGGGAAATCAGAAGAATATGTTCTCAAAAACAATGTATTAGAATGTTTTAAATAAACTAGTATTTTTTTAAAAAGCAAATCAACAACAAAACCACCACCAAGCCTGAGTTAGTTCAATCAGCATAATACTCTCCAGACTCTCTTATGTTGTATAGTATTTTACAAAATCGTTGGTCCTTAGTGCTATAGAATATTCCTCCATACAGTGAATGTCCCACGATCTCTCAATCCATTTCGTTTGTTGATGGGCATTGAGTTGTTTCCATATTTTGCTATTGTGGATAATCCTACTTATAAACATAGGTGCACATATTTTTGTTCATATCTCAGTTCTAATTTCCTTGGGGTATGTTTATAGCAGTGCAATAGCTGGTTCATATGAGATTTCTATGTTCAGTTATTTTAGGAAATTCCAGACTGCTTTCCAGAGTGGTTGTGCCATTCTTCAATCTCACCAACATTGTATGAAAGTTTCCATCCTCTCCAACATTTATTGCTTGCCATCCTGTTAAACTTTGCTGCTGCTACTGGGGTGAGATGCGATCCCTTTTTTTTTTGCTTTGATTTGCCTCTCTTGTATTGCCAATGAGTTTGAGTATTTCTTCATGTGCCTGTTGGCCATCTGAATGTCTTCTTCTGTGAGAAGTCTTTTCTTATCTTTTTGTCAGGGTTCCTTTAAGTTAGAATCAATTCAGTCAATTTGGTTTTCATTATACATGTAAATGTGATAATAGATACCCATGGTGGACAGTGTTTGGTGGAGCTCCCAGATTAAAACAGGCTTGGAAGCAGGAGTGGCATCCACTTCTGAAATAGCTTGTCTCTGAAAACTCTATGAACTTGGAGAAACAATGAAAGTTGTGAAAGTATTCAGGTCTTTTGTTCATAGAGTCGCTATGAGTTGTCTAAGACTCGACAGCACTTAACAACAACAACAACAACATGTATAATACAACATATATTTTATAATCCATGTGTTTTTATGTGTTCTAGACTATTTTGATTAGTGACAGGTATACTTAAACACAATTTTATCTCTTGAAATCTGCATGAATTGGATTTTGTTGTTTCTTCCTGTATGAACCTAACTAAATAAAATTAGAAAGTTCTTATACCTGGTGAGTGAAGAAAAGATGCTTACATATAGAATGAAGAGTTTCTACTTTGCTGTAGATTTTTCATCAGAATTGATAAATCACATGATTTTCCTCAGTTCTGCCTTTG